ATGCTTTGTTTTTCTAATTTCTTCTTTCTTGTACTAAATTCTAAACAATGTGTTTGTTTTGTTTAAGACGTTTTTGTAACATTTATTAACAATTCGTTTATATATTTGAGATTTGTTTTGAACATTTATATATATTTTTAAAATAATAAATTACAATATCTAAAAATATTAGTTTATAAATTAATTTTAATTTATCAAATAATAATTATAAATTATTTTATTAATTATTAACTACTTTAATAGTCAAATTAATCACACCCAGTATGTTAAACCACACAAATTTATTAATTTTATCTTTAAAAATATAAATTTTATTTGATTTAACTATAAGTTGATATTTATTACTTAAAAAATTAAAATCAATTTTAAGCTAATGGTTCCAAATATCATAACTAGTTAGTACTTAAGAAAAAAAAAAAGGTATAGATTGACCAATCAAACCAAATACAACTACTATAATTTATGTGGCCGAAAGCATATCCCCTGTTTCCACTCACATATGAAACTGAAACAGGAGCTAATGGTTAAAAAAGGTGCAATCCTCCCCAAAACATTATTTAAAATTATGTGCACAAAACAATTGTGACGAGTGACAACTTTGAAACCTACCGAGGTAGAGGTGGTATCAAATTAAGAGTTTGCAGCGTTTGTTGTACGAGATATTGCTCTGAATCAGTGGTAGTTTTTCAAGCAAACAAATAAATTCAAAGAAGAATATAAATGAAACTTCCAAAGACGACTCTGTACTGCATAATAAGAATATATCTCACAGTTGTTTTTGCACCTCAATTGAGCATTCACAAAGTCAGACTTAAGCTCTATATGTATCCCTCATTTCAGACTATCTATGAAAAGATAAAACAACCATGTGTTTTGGGTCAGTGCTTGTTATTTTCAGAAAAATTCCTGCAACAGTGAGAAACAAAACTAGCAGAGGTGATTGAGTCACTTAAGTTTTGATCTGATGCACCTATTTCTTTGAGGTCTCAAGATTCATCTCCTGAAGGTTCAGCAACAGATCATCTGCGTTCAAGTAAACCTTGTTGGCCGAATTTGAGATGGTGTGAGCAATTTCTCTTGCCGCCTCAATCTTCCTCAGTGTAATGAAAGCAGGATTGTTGGCAATAGCTTGACCAATGAGCTGGGCACTCTTGGCTTCACCCTGACGACCAGAGAAAGTGACTATGTTATAAGAAGGAAGAACAGATAATTCCCATATGATGGAGAAAGAAAGTCCAGATTCTTGAGGAAGTAGCAAAAAATACTGGAAGACATCTATCAACAAAATCCTAAATTGATGTAAGTAGGAAGGCTCAAGACAAGAAAGTTGAGGATTGCAACTAACCATAACTCCACAATCAAGGCTGCCAATAACAAACATTTTTCAAATGCCAGCCAGTTAACTGGATTCCATGTTCGGAATTATTCAAGCTATAATTTTGAATATTTCCAAATTCTAAAAGATCTATACCTCTCATTCATGATTTAAAAGAACTCATAACTTGTACCAAACATGAGGATCAATCCATACCTGTGCTCGGATAACAGCACTCTTCTTGTCTTGTTCAGCCTTCTCCACAATAAACTTTGCCCTCTCAGCTTCTTGGGCAGCTACTTGTTTTGCCTCAATTGCAGCTGTAAATTCCTTTCCAAAAGTCAAGCTTGTGATAGACACATCATCAAGTGCAATGTTAAAATAGGCTGCCCGCTCAGTCAAAATCTTGCGAATTTCCCTACTAACAGCCTACATGATCAAGATGTCAAATGTTCAGTATAAACTCAACAGATTATAGTGCTTTAATTAGTGCAAACATAAAACAACCAGCAGACCTCTCTCTGAGTGATGAGTTGACTGGCGTTGTACTGTGCAACCACAGCTTTCAAAGTTTCATGAATGATCGAGGGCAGAACTCTCTCATTATAATTCTCACCAAGGGTCCGATAAATTGTAGGTAACTGGTCTGCCACTGGACGAGTGAGAACACGAAGCCCAATCTTCACCTGCAGTGTGGATAGAGCTCCAAATTCAAGCAAATTAATAAGCATCTGAATTATAGAACAGAGTTTTGTGTGTAGTTTTAGGAAAAATAGGAAGGGACCATTCAAAAGAAATTCTTTAAATTTCACAAATAACATAACCACCATAACAAAGATGAAAAAGACAGAATCCTTTTCACAAAATATCCTCTTTTTATAGTATATACACCCCCACCCCCCCACCCCCCCAACAACTAAAATAGAAGACAAGTGACTAACCATCTGGAGATCACGACTACCCGAGGTACTCTCAACTAAATGCGGTCGAGCACGGACATCATAGATGACTGGCCTCTCAAACCATGGAAGCATAAGGTGTGTTCCCTCAGGATAAACCTGCATGGCTGAAAGCATCATTAAAATGCATTGCATATATTGAGGAAGAAATTAAACAAAGGAAAATCATTAGGCAAATCTATTACTTGCAGGAGGAAAAAAAAAAAAAAATCTAGGTCATTCAAAATAGTAACACCATGAGATGGTTAACTTCCTCAATGAGAAACGTAATGCTACCCTACCAAGTTTGTGTAGGTGGGAGATAAGTAGATAACTACTGCTTTAGAGTTTTGAAAGGTTGAGACAAACTGTGTTGTCCAGAATACCATAATATATTCAGTACAAAAATAAGGAATCACTGACATCTGAATAACATCTCATAACCTTCAAAAGACATAAAACTTGTGGTCTGATTAAGTCTCATTTCATGCAAAGATTAGAACAAACCTTCTTTAAGGATACAAACAGATGAGCAATTGGTGAGGAGAAGCATTTGGAAACACAAGTAATACTCAGTCTATAAATAAAATAAAATAAAATAAAATAACCGAGTGAAGACGTAACTAAGAATATATTTTCACTGACAATGAGAATTCTAATCTTATCTTAACATGGAAAAAATTCTATGCAACAGGAGAAGCATATCAGATTTGAGGGCTGATACTTAAAAACTCACATATAGCTAGAACTCAGCGTAGGAAAGGGAAAATTTTTGACAAATTTATGTGTTGACCACTTGAACATTAATCAAAAAGCAAAATAGCAACCTTATCTTTGACACCGACCAGACGATTGAACACAATAGCTCGGTGCCCTCCATCAACATTGTAGAGACTGTTGGCCACCCCATAAACACCAAGAGCACCCAGGACTCCCAGCTTAAACACAGCAGGGACAGCACCTGGCATCTTGGGGACTTTGGCATTTTTGAAATTCATCTTCTCGGAGTCTGAAAAAATAACATGGGAAGTCATTTTTCAGAAGAACAAAGGTAAACCAGAGTTACTCAAACAGACAACCAGTGGACTGGTAATGAAACAACAAATCTAAACAAGAAAAAAAAAAGAAAAAAAAAAAAGAAAAGAAACTGGTCATATTTTATCAGTAACAATTAGGAAACAGGAAACCAGAGGAAGATTCCAAAGAGAGAATCAGAATTGAACAGAAAAACCTTTCAAAAGTAGGAGTGGTAAAATTATTTCGCAAGGAAAAATCACAAGTTGACATTTGTGGGTGAAACAGTGAAGGCAAGCAGCCTGTATTAGATTACGCTTAATATGTAAATAGTTACAAAGAAGAGTAGGAAGCTGCCCTAATTGTCAATATTTTTCACCCCCCTCAGTTGACTCTCTCCTAACCCCTATAGAGTCTAAAGCTAATTCACGGAATTTTAGGCCCAACATTTTGTTTGCCGCTATATTTCATCCATACAACACCAAACACATTAACATGAACAATCCCACAAAACTCAAATGCAAGCTTACCCGATATTCTGCATCTAAATTACGCATAATGCTCCCTCAAATACAAATTTTAGGATGAATGCATCTCTATCAAATAACCCACGTTTGCAGTAACCATTAATCAAATGTCAGTTTCTCAAAAGCCTCAATTTACAAGGAACCCATTCCCTTTAACACTCGGAACAACGATAAATCAACCAAAAAAAAAAAAAATGTTACCGATCATGCAGATTTCAGGATCCTTTAATAATACACGAGTAAGTGTTCCAAAATCAAGAGACCACGGTTTGGTTTCTGGAAAAAATAAAGGACAAAAATTAAACTTCTAGATACTCATAGCCAAAAATCACAGCAAACCCTTCACAAACCAGGGCTCTGATTTACGTTATTTGCTATATATCAGAGAAAATGAAAAGCAAAATGGCCCAAGATTCTTCAAAAAAAGGAAGAGGTAACGGGAAATTGAACCCAGGAAAAAAAAAAAGAGGAAAAAATCTCTTATCCAAAATTAAAATGTTAACATCAGCTTTTCCCCCGAAGATCTCAGCAATCAAACACATCGAATTAAAAAGAAAATAAAGAAAATTATGGGGAAGGAAAGGAAGAAAAGGATTATACCTTAGAGCGTTCCTCCGTAAAGAGGAAGAGTGGTTTAGGGTTTATTAGTAGAGAGTTGCAAAAACGGAAGGGTTTAGCGCTTATAAACCGTCGGAGAGTGTGGCAGCACGAAAGGGGTTTTCGGACCGTTCGTTTAGCCACTTGGGCTCAAAAGCGTAAAATTATCATGGGCCTGTAGAAGTATGTTTACGTATTATTGTAGGCCTGCTGAATGGACGGGTCAGACGGGTTACTGATCGGACCTCACAACGAATCCCCCATGCTCAGGCTATTAGGTTTTGTGTGTATTACCATATCACATTGGTGGTCTAATAATAATTACATATAAGAGTAATTAATAAGAGTTTAGTTGAATTGATATTTATTTATTTAAAAATTTTAATTTGATGTCAAGTAACAAACCTTTTGTTGTACCAAAAAAGATTAACATATGAGATGGAATTTATAAGGGTAAGTTGGTACTCTCACAACATGAACTACATTTTTTATGCAATCCAGTCATATTTTCATTTTTGTGCAAGGGATTGACAGAAAGAAAGATGTTTTGTTAATTAAAATATCAAAATTGATAATAAAAAAACTAAAATACCCTTAATAAATCAACACATGAAAAAAAAAATTCATTAAAGAGTCTTGACATTTGTAGTGTCAAGACATTATGATTTCACTTTTTGTCTTATGCAATCCACTAATTACCATGTTTTCCTATGATAACTATATCTAGAGTAATGATATACGGATCATTTATTTGTATAACTTTTATATGTTCTTAAATAAATTGATGTATATAATATTATAGATTCTAATAAAGTGAAAATAGTTAATTATTTAATAATATGTAAATTGCGTGAAGAAACTTGTAAAAAGAATTTTCCCTAACTCATATTACACAGTCCGTATGTCTATTCAAATTAACTTTGCTGCATTTCATGCATTTGTTTTTTTCCTTTTTATGGCTTCAAATTTCATTACAAACTAGTAAGTATACATAATATCAATCAATCAAATAATCAATATCTAACACATCATAATAAAATCTCATTTAATTACTTCTAACAAACCAATACAACAATATAAAGTTAGACAACAACTTCCACAAGTTAAAACTTAAACCTGAAACTTAAGATATCAAAACCTCTATTTTAACTAATGAAAATTACAATTTAATTGCTTGTTGTTTAACGTTGATGTATATAAACACCTGATATTTAAACATGTACATATACTATACTTTTGTACTAGGTGCATATAACCACCCATTCATTACATAAAATGCTCTAAAGTCTAAACGCCTTTTTTTTTTTTTTCTTTTCATTCTTTTTATTTAAAGGTTTTTAAGACAGTTCAAGAATTTTCAAATAATTATTTGTACCTAATACAAATATCAAATATTTATATGCACATTTTGAAATCTCAAATTTTTATGTGCATATATCCCAAAGCACAAGTATACACATTTAACTACTAGCCAAAGAGCGCATATATATGAAAGATGGTTCATGGTTGTTCTTTTGCTCTTCCCACCATGGCAAGCTAGCAACTGTAGGTAAATGAACCATATCCAAGTAGACCAAGGGTTATTCTTAAATATCACATTTTATTCAATTTGTGAACCCCATCCACTACATGATTTAAAGCTTCATACTCAAGTCTTCCTCCCCATGCACGTATAGGCTATAATCTTAAGAGCTTGCTCAATAGAGGGGATTGGTTAAAATGAATAAAGGATTTGAAGAGAAAATTGAAGCTTCTTCACTCTCTTTCCTTCAAAAACCTTTTTCAACTTTCTCATTCTTCCTCCATTTCCTTTCATCTTAATAGACGCAAATTTAAGCTCTTTTTTTTTAACTCTAATTTTTTTTAAGTAGAGTTTTTTATTTTATAATTTGAAATGTTTTAAAATATAAAATAAAAATTTTTAGATAAAAAATGACTTTCTATATATTCAAAGATCTTTTATCTTTTATTTAATAATTAATA